TTTTTAATTTGGTATTTTTTTTTTCTTAATAACGAAACAATAGAATTAGTAAGTTAGGAAATGTATATAGTTCGATGGCTAACTAGCAAATACAAACCAAAGGCTAAAACGAGGAACACTCGCAGGTGCCATAAACCCCACACAATCAACAATTAAACTAGTAGTGCGGCAGAGAAACAGCCTCTGAAAACCCAAACTAAAAGTCTACACAAGCTCGAGAAAGAAAATGCAACGCCCCGTTATTTTTATAAGAAAATATGATTCAATAATAATTTAAAACATTACCAATATCGATAATCCAATACATAATTCAAGCATGCATAATAATTCAGATTCATAATCCAAAACAAATCCAAAGTGATACATTAGTCTAGCATCAACATAATAATGACAAAGCGGAAGCAAATAAAACAGTTCATAATCACAAGTATGACCCCGCTCACTCGTCTTTCGCCGCAGCTACCAGCTCAACCTGAAAGGGGGGAAAATTGCGGGGGTGAGCAAACCTACTATCTCACCGTGGGAATACCATGCAGTCTATTCAATATAATGACTTAAAATCATAATCACAGCATAGACACAAACCGTCTAGTCTACCTCCTGTACAGCCCTACTGATGTAGGGAAAAGCGTACGAATGGGAAGATAAAAGAGATACTCTCTCTTGATGACGCAAAAACAGATTTCTTATTTCATATTCAACTGCTCAATAACAAAGCATCATATCTCTTTAAATAAAGCCCTCACCCTAGCTTATTCTCTAAGCTACTAATTATTAAATACTATTAATTGTTATAATAATAATAATAGTAAATATTATTTATTATTCTGCACCATTCTCCTCCGGTTGAGCAGGATTCGCCCTCGAATCCGACACGTTCCCGTTGGAGATGTCCCCATGATAGGAATAGTCCGACGTTTCCCCCGATCGAACACGAATGACGAAGGTTGCCCAACAGCCCCGATGAGAAACATAAACTTGAGCAAGTGTTGTGCTACCGAAAAGGTACATGTACACGCCTCCCTACGCTTAACCCACACAACGGGAGATTTCGCGATAGACAATCGGAAAACGACCCACCAGTTATTGAGCCTCGACTTCAGCTCCAAAAAAACATAGTTGGCCAAAATATTCCAAACATCGGGTTTGAACGACGACATCCCGGTCAAAGGCTCAACTTCTACGACGTCCCACGCAGGACCCATATTGCTGCAAAAATATGTCTCCATCACCGGAGGCTCCTCATCGAAAAGAGGCAGACCGTCGTACAATAGTCCGTCATTCTCCTCAAAAACCACACCTTGTTGGCCGTTGTGCGCAACAACGAGCTCAGTCTCGACGGGCGGAGGCGGCCACTCTCCGAAGGGATCCACTTTCAAGATGGTCTCCTCGCCGTCTGCATCGTCGGACGGTGGTTGTGGAGATCGTCGACGGTGCGCCCCGCCTGGACCACGACCTCCACTTCCTCCGTGAACTCCCCCGCGCACACCCCGGTTGCCGGCGGCACGGTTCATCTGCAAATCCGTAACAATCACGTTGTTCGGCGTCAAACACACATCCTCGATCCCCGTCGAAAGATCGACAAACAAATTCGTGAAACGCACGTCCAACTGTTCAAATCAGTAGTCGATCTGTTGAAACCGATCGTTGAAGGTTGCATCACTTCGTTTGTTTGCGGCATCTTGTCGTCTCGGCAGCATCGCGATCGTACTGACTGCTGATACCAACTGATGTAGGGAAAAGCATACGAATGGGAAGATAAAAGAGATACTCTCTCTTGATAATACGCAAAAACAGATTTCTTATTTCATATTCAACTGCTCAATAACAAAGCATCAGATCTCTTTAAATAAAGCCCTCACCCTAGCTTATTCTCTAAGCTACTAATTATTAAATAATATTAATTGTTATAATAATAATAATAATAATAATAATAATAATAATAATAATAATAATAATAATAATAATAATAATAATAATAATAATAATAATAATAAATATTATTTATTATTCTGCACCATAATGGTTATTATTAATTGTTATAATAACCATAGCTTATTCTCCCTAGCTTATTCTCTAAGCTACTATTATTAAATAATATTAATTGTTATAATAATAATAATAATAATAATAATAAATATTATTTATTATTCTGCACCACCTACGCTCATGTGATCACATCTAAACCGCCGGAAACACTATCAACCAGAGCTAAACCGTCGGAACTCCATCAACGGGAAAATACTCTCTATAAGCAAAAATAGGAGAATGTCGGAACTCCATCAACTTGAAACCTCTCATAGACTAATGGTTCGCATGCATACATTGATTATCAGACCAAACAATTATAAAGAATAGCATACACGGTAAGGTTTATCGACACCCACCTGATTAGGCGAAGCAGACGAATACATCAGGTCAGATGAAGGTAGGCAGAGAGCTCGACTCCTCAAACACCTACATTTAATAAAAAAAAATTCAAAAATACTTATATTGAAAAATCGACAAGTTACATGAGAATTCATAGTGAGTCGAAAATATTATCAACTAAGTAGCTCGTGGAAATTTTGTGTAATTTGGAACCCTCATATTTAAGTGGAAAACTTGGAAAATCATTTAAAATGCCTAAAAATAGATTCTATGCGAAAACGAGGTCAAAGGCTCGAAAATCAATCACACGGCTCGGGAAAATAAAATTGGGTTCGGTCGGACCGGCACGGGCACGGGCTGGCTTGTGCGGCTGCAGCTGGTGCAAACGGGCGCGGGCCTAGGCTGTTGGACGCGTGCGGGTGCGGCTAGGTGTTGCTGGGGTAGAAGGCATGCGACTGGGGTCGATGGCCGTCGCCTGGGCACGATACGGGTCGGGTGGCGGGCAACTGTGAACGACAGAGGCACGCGAGGATCGCTTGGCCATGGTGCGGGTGGCAGAGGCATGCGGGCGTGGTTGCTGAGGACTGACGAGGCTCGGAATGCACGCAAACACGCAGTGCGGGGTTACATGACTGTCGCAGCTTGTCTGCGACGCTGTAGGGGCTCATGCGCGTCCACTGCGCGGTCTGCCACCTGCCAGCGTCGCGGATCGCACGCGCGGCTGCAGCTTGTCTACAGGGTCTCAGACAGGGCCGCGGTTCAATGGGCTAGGGACCGAATTCTAATTTGAAATTTTAACAACATATATGACATCAAATCAGAAATTCCCAGTCCAAAATTCAAGTCAAAAGCACGGCTAGATTAATTTATAAAAAATTTTGGTCAACCAGGTATCATTTGACTTAAAAATTTGAAATAGGCATCCAATTAAATTCCAAAAATCCCCATCAACTCCAGATCATAACAACACAGGAAGGAGGGTCCAAATCCACGATAATTTCCACAAGAAGGAGCAAGAGCCAACTATTTCATATCAAAAGCAATTAGATTTAATTTAAAACATTTAGATCCAAGCCTCATCATGCACGATCTACTCAAAACTTAGCAAAACAAATAATATCAGAGGGGATCTAAGCCAAATTATCGCGCACCAAGGAATCTACAAGCTATGGTGATTGGATCGGGCAATGGGCACGCCTCGGCGGCTAGGCGCGGCTCGGCGAGGCTGGTGCGTGTGCAAGGGCTGAGGGCGTGGAAGGGGCCGAAACTCGATGGATCTCCGTCCACCTAGGATTGCTCGTGTGGCCTGAAGGTCGACAGTGGATCTGCAACGTCATTATATAAAACTCGCGGTTTTGCTATGAAGCCAACAGTTGGCTCCATAGTGAAGCCAACCTTCTATATACAACAAGTAAACCTACCATATTCTCTGATTACATAAATATCACTAATATAATTTTATTAATATAGTAGGTTTATTTGTTGTATATAGAAGCTTGACTCCACTATGGAGCCAACTATTGGCTTCATAGCAAAACCGATAAAACTCGTACAAAAAAAATATGCTCTAATTGATAGCCTAATAAATGTGATTTAATAGTTTCAACACATAAAATATTATTTGTAAATAGAATAAGAATACAAAAAAATAAAAAATAAAAAAAAAAATAGTAATGTAATGGCAAAAAGAAAAAGTTTGAATTTTCTTAAAGAAATATAAGTACCAAAATCTATAAACAATATTCATTTAATTACTACTTTTTTTGTTAGGGAAATATTTATTCATCCCACACGATTGGGAAGATATTGCAATATTACCATTCATAAGAATTTAATTGTGTACATACCTAATAGATAATAATTAATTACATTAATGTCTAAAATTCAGTTACAAATAGGCCACCTTCATTTCATATTTATAGCGCATGATTTGTGGGCAGTTAGAAAAAAAAGA